CGTGCCCTACCAGGTAACCGCGCGGGTTCGGAAGGTTTGGGGATCTCGCAGAGAGCCTGGCTCGTAGCCATGGACAGTTCTGCTCGTGCTGCAAATGCTTTTTGGAAGAGGGAAAAACTTGCTGTAATCTGCGAAAAGATAACAGCTCCGTTCCGCGTGCTGGGCAGTGAGATGTCGTTGAGCTGTCGGCAGGGCATGTGCTCAGGTCTCGGCGCTGAAACCGTTGTGTTTGCCACTGAGATAATGCCTGCTGTAGGTGTGGGCTGGAGCGTGGGGGTTTTGTGTGCTTCGTGTTATCTTATCTCTGAACTCCAACTAAATTGGTTTTGAGCAGGTGAACAGGGGTGGTTTTTTTGGTTTGTTTTTTTTTTTTATCCCCCAGGTACCTTTCAATGCTGTCGCACTCAGGGTCATTCACACCGACGTGGCTCCCACCAACATCATGTACGCGGTGAATGCCAGCTGGGTGGGGCTCTGCAGGATACCCGATGAAATCAGATGCCAAAGCGAGGGGCCGGTCCTGCTGACACAGACGCCGATCTGTGATTGCCTCGGCTTTGGTGAGCCAGCCCGGGACACCGTGAGCCGCGTTCTTGCCCACCCCGTGCCGACAGACCGGCTGCGGGGCGCAGGGTTCTGTTCTCAGCCGGAGTGGCGGGAGGAGCGGGCTGAGGTAGCGGTGCCTGCGTGTTCCCTCTGTCCCAGCCGTGCTTCAGGCCCGTCGGTGTTCGCTGACGTGTCGTTACAGCTCTGCCACCTTTAGTAGCTTGCGTGTGTCGGAGAACTTGACGGTTCCCTTGCTTTCTGGACTCACATTCATGAAAGCAGGTTCCATGTGGTTTATGCAAAATTCCTTCCGTTTTCTGTGGGTTTGCTTCTACCACTTGATGTAATGTTACAGCTCTGGGTCTGGTGCCGAGCTCCTCAGGCTCCTGTGGGGATGTACTGACGAGCTGGGCTACACCGTTTGGGATGTGGGCTGTTGGTGTGCATGCTGAGATCCTGGAGAAATGTGGGGTTTTTTCTCAGATGGGTCTTAAATCCTCCTGGTGTGAGAAGAACCATTTACTCAGAGAGCTTTGTCTGCTTCTGGCTGCACAGTGCAAAAGGCTCGGACAGAGTTAAGGCTGAACTTGGCACGTTTGCTTTCAGGAATTGTCCGAGGGGTTGACATGGAGAAGAAGCTTTACCACATCCTGACGCCGGTGCCTCCAGAGAGCCTGAGGCTGGTGAATTGTCTGCTCCTCGGAAACATCGCCATCCCCAACTGTGTTCTCGTGGGCCAGGTAGGAGCGGCGCGGCTGGAGGGGGAAAACTGGCTGGCGGTTTTTCTGATTTCTTACTTGTGAGGTTTGTGCATGCCTGGAGCTGCCTGGGCACCAGCAGATGGTTATCTCCCCAGGAAATTGTCAGTAGGAGCAAGGGAGAGAGAACGTTCTTCTCGTGTTTCAGATACCAGAGCGGGGCTGGTGTGGTTGTAGCTTGCTCATTTCCAGCAGTCAGCTCCCTTGGTCTCTAGAGGAAAGCGTTTCCCCTTCCATTGAAGGTACGAGTCTGTAAAGTTGTTCCTGGTTTTGTTTCTCCTCTTTCCAGCAAGGAGTTGAGGGAGAGATCCCCTATGTCACATCTGACTATAACTACAGCATCGTGGGGTCTGGGAAGCTGAAAAAGAAGTTTTCCAAGCAGAGGGAGCATGCGTTCGCCTGATTACATGTGAAGCCTTGGGGACCTCGGGCTGGGCTTTGTGCCGTGGAGGCAGGAGCTGGGTGTGCTCATGTGGCCGAGTGCTCCAGAGCTCTGAGGGGCACAGGGCGGCTGTAGGTGCTGCAACATGTCCTGTTTTGATAAGGCTTTAATATATTTCCAGTTTGTATTCTGGTGTTTTGTAATAAATGCCTGTTAAAAATGTTGGTTTGGTTTGAATCTTTTCCTCAGCCTGTGTTGGCTTGGACAGGACCGGTGCCGGTGGGGGTGTTGCTGCCCAAGGCCTGCTCTGCCCGGCTCCCGTCGCTCGGGTTTTTTGTGTTTTCCCCCAGCTCTTTGTCGGGGCAGCGATTTGCTCTGGAGGGAAGATGGGGTTGGTGGGAGCCGCACGGAGGTGAGCAGGTGCCTGGGGCTGAGCTGACCTTTCTGAGGAAACTGCTGCTGGGCGGGTATCACCAGGCACCTGATGGATGTGTGACTGCACAAATCACCTGCCGCCCGACCCGACGGGCTCCTGCTGACCTGGCCTGGCCCTGCCTGTGTCCCGA